TGGGGGGGCACACACCTTGAAGTAAGGCGTTTTGGGGGGCGGGGGGCGAGGAGGAGGGTCACCAAGATGCATTTACCTCGTAATCTTAAACCTGGGGGGTTTGCAGCGGCGAGAATTTGGCGGGGGGGGTATACACTCGTGTTTTGCATGCCTTCGCTGGTAGACCACTGGCCATGCGTCCTCGAGAGGACGGAGGGTTGTTCCCACAGGATGGATCACCGATGCCTAGCGGCACAGAGGCGACGCAGTCTGCGAGAGAGATAAGAGGACTACAATTGCTGTCCATGTCATTGCGGCAGTTACACAAGGTTCATTCTGCAAGTCGCAAGGACCTCGCTCCCAAGACCTCTGGTCACTGACTCAGGAATTCGACGTCGGCAGTTGAATAGCTCGACAGGCGTGCATGAGCCGTTGCCGCCACCAACATCACGCGTGACGGATTCCTCCTTTTGTTCACGACATTTAGAACATGCTCAAATATGTTATTTTCTTCGTTGTCGTAGTCGCGGAGAATTTTCATGTTGGTGTGCCTTTTTTCAGTTGAACCAAGAACCCCCCTGCCAAAAGAAGGCACGCAAAAAAGAATACTCAATGCCAACGAATATCGACACGCGTACTGAGCCACGCGTGTTCGAGCCTTGTCACCATTGTTTTTCGCACTTGGTGAAATGAAGAAAACTTGTGATCGAGCAGAAACTCCGCCCACCAGCGGAGTTAGTTGCCTCCAACGTGCTTTATGAATTATGACAGTTGCGCTTGACGAACAGCCTCAGTCGCTCCCTACTTCGTAATTCAAAACAATGGTTCATCTAATGCACGAATTTCGATTGGAAGAAACGCTTGTCTGTGAACAAAAAAAAACACACTCATGAGGCAAACTGCACCGCTTTAGTTTTCTCCAACAGCCCGAAGCAGCAGCACTTATGATACCACAACTGCGGTGCGGCCGTAAAGAAATTACCTCTCAATGCTCGCGCCCCCCCCCCCGCCGCCGTCACCACCGCCACTCTAGCTTGTTCCCCTCCNCCACCCCACCCATCCAAGCCTTTGGACATGAGCCTAGCCCGGAAATCCCTGAGCTCCATGCTCTCAGCGCCCTCCGCCGCCCCGCTCTCCGAAACACCTTCTTCGCCGCCTCCGGTTGGCCCTGACGCCGAGCCGCCGCCTCCCTCCGACGCGGTTGACTCCGCCGCGGATTCCGCGCGTGCGTCTCCGCTCGGTCGCTCTTCCTCGCCCTCTGCAGCTGACGCTCGCAGGCCTGGTACGGCGGGGGCTTGCCTGGAAGCTGGCCGGCCACGGGTCTGGCCGGGAGTGTGATTGATTAAATAAACGAGCTTTGAGGAAACAGACATCCAAGCTGTTTTGTCTGAATCTTTCGGTAGACAAATTTCCTGCAGCCAACGAAGGATTCGCAAGAGGAAATAGTACAAAACTGCTGTGTTGCAGATCTAACAAAAAAATGTCCTATATACCACCTCTACATTTCGAAAAACTCTACGCGTTTTGAACAAGCAACCCTGTTGCTGATTTTCTGCTATGTTTCAAAAATGTGGCACGTCGCCGCCGTCCTAGTGTCGGTGCCCCCAGAAATACTTCATCGCATTCTGCCGCTGCTTTTGGGCGGCCATATGGTGTTATCGTGTATCCCAGAAGGTACAGGAGCATGTTTTCGAGATAGATTCAAGGGGGGGGGGGGGGG